GACAAGAACAATTTTAATAAGAAATAAAATCTTACTATATGAGATTTGATCATATGAAAATCGTACAGCAAGTTCAAGAAATGTATTACTGGACAAGAATGAGTTTTAATGGCAAAATATTTTTTTAGATACAATTTGCATATGTAAGCTATCTATGATCAAAACTATCAGGGGGTACAAGAAATTTAATGGGGGAAACGATTAAAGACTTGCAAAAACAGTCTTACTTGCGAAGCCTTAGGCTACTATGATATTCTATACGACAAAAAATAGTGATTCTTTTTGTAGATTTAGAACTTTGAACACAAAAATTCTATTGACATTGGTAGATGGCAAAATAATCAGAGAGATATACAATATATGTACATTGTCGGAAAATATAAAATTTATTTGTATGAGCTTTAGAAACAGGACGAAAAGCGAGGCTCGCCGAGCTTTTCTCCTGTTTCGTAGCGAGTACAAATACATTTTATATTTTCCGACAATGTACATATATTGTTTTAATCCTGAAATTTACACCCAACACTTTATTTGTTAAAATCTAAATCATTGTTTCTAATTTTTCAAAGAAATCGACATAGTTTACCGGACCTCGAAGAGGACCCCAAAATGAACTGGTACGCATAAAAAAAATATCCACATTACCGATTGCTCAACATGAAAATTTATTTGTGTACCTGTTATTTGTACAATAGTAAGTTGATTGCAGGATAAAAAAAAATATTTGTACTTTATGTTATTCCGGTGATATCGGCGACGAGTTTCATTATGTTTTAGAATGTTCGACAATAGACAAAAGTAGACAAACGCTGTTTAAACGGGGTTTTGATCGCCAAGGACGCCACATTTTGCAATGAATTTTATCGATATTTTTTAACGTTTTCAAATGAAATAAATTGAATAGAAAATTTCCAGACTTTGTGAAGATTTCTCAATTGGCTTCAATAATTACAAACAAAATGAAATGTTTATTATTTTTCAAGGAAACCTTTTATTATTTGCCAAGTTTACTTGTATGTGTTTATTACCATCACTAATCACAGTGACAGTCCTGATTATTAAAGTCAAACTACCTAATCAACATGATAATTGGTATTGAATATGATCATCGGTCATGCCTATCCCAAAAAACGGCGCGTGCCGATAAAAACTTAAATAACTTCTCAAATATTGAACTGATTTTATGAAAACAAAAATTATAAGATCAAAAATTAAATTATCTATCGAATGCATACCCTTAACGCACATTAAATCATCTATTACATGTCCTGAGTGCCCTTTTATGTTCTGAGTGCACTCAGGAGGTCCTGAGCGGTATTTAGACGTACCGTAATTTTAGTGGCCGAATAAGGCTAATTCCATGACCAGGTGTTTAGTGTTCGGTGACCCGTATTGGCTCAAACTATACATGTATCAGACAAATTAGCACATATTTACAACTTCTCGTCCAATCAAATTGCTTGAATTTGCCTTCTAATTTTCATAGTACATACTTTTTCCGTGTACTAAGTAACTATGCACGAATAACCACAAGGGTAAGATTTCATTGTATCGTAATCAAGATATTAAAACAAAAATTGCCAATGGCTATTTTGAAATAAAAATTAAATGCTGTGTTCCAAATTAAATTAAATAGTTTGTAATTCGTTTTCACATTGATTTTTAAATATCCTATCAAAATCTTATTAAAATCTCTAAAAAATGTTTTGACAATTGCAATTTTCTTACATTTAAATAAAGAGTAACAAATACGGTTCTTTAAAACTTGATTAGAGTACAACGCTATCTTAAAATTGTAATAATTTATCATCCATGCAATGACCTTGTACACAAAAAAAGGTGTGTACTATGAAACATTGTGAAGGGAAATTAAGGCAACTTGGTGATGATTTTTTTTAACTTTCTTGGGGAAATTGATCTATTTTGTCATGAATTGATTGATTGATTATTGGTTGCTTAACGTCCAGTGGCAACTATTTCATGCATGTCATGAATTGAAAAACCGTTATAATGTCTGACGAGAAAGTGCTACCTTTATATATATACATATTCTGAAAAATCTTTTTAGTTTTTACTTTGAAAAAAAAAACCAAAACACAAAACCTATAATCTCTGATCTATTGGTAGTTGCTTTTTATTGCTATCCGCTAGACCATCTATGGGGACAAACTATCTATATGTTTCAAATTTATTATAGTTTTAGTTTTACTGTGAAATTGATAAATGTTTTCAAAACATGTTAAGCTTCCACTGCAATTTAATTATTGTCTGCTTTTGTTCAATTCATTTTGTCATCTTACCATGTAAAGAAGTACATGTATAGTAAAACACCGCTTGATATCAATATACATATTACTTACACCAGCAGCTACCATCTTTTCATTCTGGATTCAAGGGCCTTTTGAAATCACACATCTTACAATGATACTAGTGAGTAGATTTGCCAAACATAAAATTCGTTAATGAGCTCCGTTTTACAAACACCTTTGACAGGTTGGGAACAAACCCTCTGTACGGTTATTATACCTTGATATGGGGTTTATCCGCCTAGACGGGTATAAAAAAGACCGCGAATCGAGGGTATTTTTCATTTGGAAGCTTGGCACTCGAGAGAAATACAGATCCGCACCATGTCAACTCATGTGGTATGTAAATGTGAACTTTATCTTTCTAATTCTGTAAATAATGTTCAATAATATCAACCATATAGTAATTGAACATTAAGAATAATACACTCACTTCAACCGGAAGCTGTTTTATAAGCTTCAATATCGACTAAAATCTGTATTTTTCAACATTTTTCAGAAAAAGTTTGTACAGCCACATTTCTTTCGTTGTCTTCTACCATTTTGAACAATATGAGGATCACGAGATCAATATAACCAATCAAAATTCAGCTTTTAAAACAATGGCGCAAGGAAAAGTATGGACCGCCAATTTCACAAGAATACACTCACTTGATTTATGAATGTAATTAATAAAGTTTTATCCAGTGAATCTTTACATCAATTTGTTAGGGGGTATTTTTTGTTGTTGATTCAAATATTATAATTTCAATATTGAAAATATATAAATTTACACCAAATCATCCGTTGCACATCTTTTTGGGAAGATAGAATATCAATTAACTCCTTGAATATCAATTAACTGAATGAATGATATTTGTATCAAATGCTTCAAGATACATTAAAAAGTAGCCACAACGGAGAATACTTAATGTACAAACTAACTATATAAATTTGATATACTTCACTTCTTTTGGTTTTGATTTTTGAATTATTATCTCCCTTGTTTTTTGCGTTTGTACGTGTTCTTATTCTATAAAAAACGATGATGGAAAAAAATCATCAAGTTTTTAAAATGTTCGTTTCCTGATAATTTACATTGGTGTAATTTTTTGAAAATCTTTTAACATGATGCTTAGAAAAACACATTACCTACATTTATGTAGGTACGTTTATTTGATTGGGGATGATAGATGATTTTCCATTTTGATAACAATGAAGTGACTATGTATACATTCAGCTGATTTCTTTTTTTTTATTTGTTTGTAAATAGGTAACTTTTATTGAGGTTGTCTCATCATGGAATCATGGAAAGCTCCAAACCACGATAAAAAATAAACAAAAATAAATGCATAAATAATGAATCACAAATTTCATTGGTGTATTTTAATATCCATATTTGTAATGATTGTTACTTTTACATATCAAACAAATACAATATACAAGTCTTACATTAACTTTGTTATTTTCCCCCATTTAAGATAAAAGTTGCTCATAATGAAAGAAATTATAAATATGTGTCTTTATATTGTTAGATAATATCACTATATACTGCAATCATTGATACTCACAGTTGACATACATTTTATTTAAAAGGAAAAAGTCAATAAAGGCGGTAAAAAAAGCTTACACACCATCAAAGTAACACCAAAACCCACTAACAGTAAGAAAAGGGGCCTTAGAACAATGGTGGCATCCAAGGACATCAACAAATGCTGTTCAGGAAGAAAAGACACATTGTTCCAGAAAGTATGAAATAAAAACAAATATGAAATAGTAGAATGTAGTTAAATATTTCTCTTCAATTATTTATCATGCTTAATCAATATAAAATCAAGAGTTCAAGTTAAAGATAAAAATGCAAGCATACATCAGCAATAATTTATCGATCGTTAAAGCATATCCTATTAAAAATGCAAAAGGAGTTTAGAATTTTAGTACTTAACATATTCATTCAAATCTAGAAAACCCTTTCTGATTCATAAATTGGATAATGTTTAATGAATGCCAAATCCGACAACTATATATCTCCAAAATGACATAGAAGTTAGCAAATAGTAAGGCATCATGCAACCTTCAACTAAGAACAAAACCAGTATCTCTGAGGTAGTAAAAGGAATTACAAAGTGTTTTAAAAATGCATTGAGAAAGCCAACGGACTGAATACTATTTCGGCGTTTGTTTGTCTTATTTTCCTTGGTATTACATATATTTAGCAATGGTTAAGAGTAATTTTAATTTAACATTGAAGTACAAAATATTGATATGTTACACATGTATGGTGATCAAGCACTATTATCAGCGGTTTTGATATCTTCGATCTCTTTGAGAAAACTTAGTAGGTCGGTTTTGTTCTTTCCCTTAATTTTGGTCCACCTTTTGTTAAATTTCTCGTCATCGAGGCCTTCGAGTTCAAGCTCCACAGCTTTTACTATATCTGCTTTGGTTCGGCGTGATATGTCAAAATACTCGTTTCGGTCAGTTGGTTTGATGAATAACGGCTCATATTTCTTTTTTGTTGCCAAGTTGTTCTCTACCACTTGTGACAGAAAGTCTTTCCTATGGGCCCTGCTTTTGTTGATAAAATTAAGTAGCTCCTGATCTAATGGTTTACCTCGGAGTGTTGTGAGCTCTCTCTGGTCAAAATATGACGAATTACGAACGATTTTTAGAAAATTAAAAATTTCTTCTGAAAGATCATAGGAGAATATGTACTCATCGTCAGCAGGTTGTAGATGTTGAATATTGTACATGTGATCTTGTACCTGAAATAGTATGATTGTTTTAGAATTCGTAATTTCTTCATATTCATAGATAAAATAAAATAAGCATGTAATGTAAAAATGTTTTTTTTTCATAGGCTTTAGAGCTAGAAGTGGCAACTTCAGCAACCGTATCATTGTCTGTGACCAGGACTAATGGGTCCTCATTTCGGTACAAAAGTACCAATGAAATAGATGCAGCAGTAATGACATCAGTCAACGTGAATGAGGTATTTATTTCACTCACTATATTATTGTCTGCAACATCTAATATAAATACACTAAAAGAGGTGCCGCCTGATAGTATTATTTTACGAAGTTATGATGTATTTTCTTATTTAAAAAATCTTTGGTTCTCTATTTACTAATAAGTTTAATCGTTTTGTATTTTGATTAATATTCGTGTTAAATTTATATTTCATTTCAGCATTATCTTTTTTATGAACAACATGCATACTGTTTTTTTTTAATTTAAATTTATATCATTTCCTTTGTTATTTTTTTTATTTCGTTTTTCAGACTATTGTTATAGATACTGAACAACCCAGCACAAGCAACAACACTACAACCAGCGTTTCGTCTCCCAGAAACCAACCCAGGATGAGGGCAGAAATAGCAACACAAACCCAAGAAAGTTTTTTAAAGGAGCAGCTGACAGTTGACCCCAGTAGCTGCCGGATTCGTGGCGAAGATAAAAATGATCAAAGGAGGCTCCGGGTTGGCTGCTCCTTTAAAAACTGCAATTTCTGGGTACATGCTATGAGTCGAGGAATAGGATCGAAAACAAAATGATCGCTTAGCAAGATCAAATTCTACTGTCCAAAACACATTGGAAGTGCATAAAAACTGAATAATAAATTATTTATAACTCACCTCATCTAGTCTATCTATGTTGCAATAAACTTCAAGCCATTTTTTCTTATCAGGTAGGCCAGATGGCATCCACATCTTGCTTTTGCGGTTAATGTTCTCCAGTACAAAATCACCACCTTCTCGTTTTGAATCATGACCACTAGCACTGTAAGATTCGTTTGCTCCAATGAACGCCAAGACTTCTGGCGGACATTGTACTCTGACAAATGAATCTCGGATAAATGTCTCCATATAAAAGGGCATATTGAAACCAAAGAATAATGGCGAAAACTTAACTTTTCCTGCTTGAATTGCAGTAGAGTTGTCACGCCTGATTCCAGCTCTAAATACATGGAGTGCCAGGCAGTAAGTGAAAACTACTTCTGACATAAACTTATAGTTACTAGAAGTAGCACCATTCAAATAGGAGAAGTACCCAGTCAAGCTAGGATTTGCATTTTTCTTCACTTCTTGACGGCAGTAAGGGACAAGAAGTTCTTGTGCCATGGAATGCATAAATATCATAAGACTCTGCCAGCTTTTGTGATGGTCTAAAGAAATAGATAAAAAAAAAAAGAACTATAATAGGAGATCAAATCACACTACACTAATTTTTTATGCAGTCATTAAAAACTCATATTTTTTTCAAAATTTCGAAATTAAATTGCATACATTTCATTTTTATGCCCCACTTAAGGGCCTTGTGATTTTAGGTCTGTCCACCGGTCGGTCCGTCTGTTCGTCCGTCTGTATGATGAAATTAAGGTTTTATCAACTTGAAACTTGGTTAACATGTTCATTATGATATGATCTTTGTAGTTTTGATGCCAAATTATACTTTGGACCAGAATGTAACGCGGTCCACTGAACATAGAAAAGGATAATGCGAGTGGGGCATCCATGTACTTTGGAATATTATTGTAAAATAAAATTGTCTTTATTGATATTCAAAATGAAATGAATAATTTTCATTTAGAACAAATGCAATTATACATAAATTTAATTACCTCCAGCATTCTGAAAGCTCTGCAAGGCCTTTGGGCTGTGAAAACCTAGCATCTTTGCCAGATCAAACACGGCAATATCCCACAGCAATTTTATCAACACTTTCACCATGTTTATTTCATAATGTCCAAGACCTAAAACGAGAATACTAGGAGCTTGTAAAATATGTAGAAAGGTATTTTACAGATTAAGATTGACAATTAGTGTAACATGCAGTATCAACATATACATTGGTTTGGATCATTGTTGAAATGTGTACGATGATATTGTATTGCTTGCATCCGCAGGTCAGGTTCACTAGTTAAAATTTTATCTCAATTTCATTCAGACACGTGTTGTATTTTTATAAATGCATATCAAATATACCAACAACAACAAAAATACAATCATTACTAGTATTTTATGGACACCTTAAATTTAATTGAATCCTTTATTTACCAGGTATCATAACAATATTGTTATATTTTCTACAATCATTGGCACTCAGTTCTTTACAATGGTCGTTTTGCTTAATGTGGTCTTTGAAATTAGCTTCCTCATCAAACTCCATTTTACAGTCTTGGCACACCGACACGTTTTCTATGGTTCTGCTGCCTAAGGTGTATGGTAATCCATCACACCCTAGCATTGTCCACTGCCTGACCTTGCTGTTGTCTGTCAAACCTGTCAGGTCTCTGATATGATCGAACACCTATTTCGAAATAAAATATTCATATGTTATGTATAACAATTTATTAAAAACACAAAAAAAATATTCAGACTATATGTATAGGCATACATAGTACAATTAACTATTTTGGACCATTCAACCAAAAAAAAGGGTATAGTGATATCCAATCAGGTATATATATATATTGGCATAGAAACGCTATGTAAAACCAAAATAAGGAAAAGCAATCACTATCTTAGAAAAGTCATTTCTGAGCAACACGAACCCATTAAATGTTAATAAAAAAAATATTTTTAACACAAAACCAAACTATAAAATTATTACCTTTTCCACAGATTCATACGAGCACGGGTTCTCAAAGCATGGGTCTCCAACTGTAACATTGACCTTTTCCTCGGGATGTTTAGAACTGACAAAATTGTACCTAAATGCAAATATATATTTAATATTGATAAAAGGTTTTTTTAAAATGTGCAGCAGCCACTTTTTCAGGCATGCCGAAGTTACTAAATAATAAAGTTGAACAAGTATTCTTACTTCAGAGAAAAAGGGTCATAAAAGTTATATTGCATTTCATAAATGTTCATTATGATCAAATTAATACCATTTTGAAATAAACAAAATATGCAAATAGTACGAGAAAATAATCATCAATATTCACCTTTCTTCTTTCTTTATTTCAAAAGTAGCCCCTTGATAATCATCTTTATCCAATAAGTCTGTCAGTTGGTCGGTTCCATGTTCATGTTGCTTCCACACAATCTCCATTTGTCGGACAATAAATTGATTTCTGAAAAACGAATAAAGTATATGAATTAAGTTATTGTCCGAAACTTTTGTTTGTTATTAATTCCATAGCATTCCACGAAGAACTTATTTATAATGCATGATATTGTACTATTACTTGATGAAACTCAATTACAGACCTTAAATTATTAAGTTTACATTTTTATATGTATGAAGTGTACCTGAATTCTCTAAAAATCTCATCTTGTTTGTCAAAATCGGTCAATATTTTTTGTTTGGCAGTTTCTTTTGATTGACGGTCTATCTTGAACCAGTGTTTGGGGGACAAATCTGTTCTTTCTTGTAGCTTGGATGACTGGTCAGGAAAGATATGAGCAAGCATTGTTATTACACTAGTTTGTGATTTAAAATGGCTCTGTACCCTCCATTTACGCTGCAAGACCTGAAAAAAAGATAAAGTTGAATTGATTGTTAACACCTAAAATTGATTACTTTAATTAATTGTATTTATCTCCTATTTTTTTTTTTTTTTTTGATGATTTGACAATAAATATTTTCAAATGAACAGCGCAAGTACGAAATTGTTTGCTGTAGATTTTGATCCAATTCTGCAGTGTAGTGTAACTTCCAGATGGTGATCCTGCAGAATTGACCAACACTGAGCCTTTGCTGCCTGTCTTGTAGAACATCAGCAGATTCTTCGAGAATGCTAGCGGTGAAATAAATTTAGCATTTCGGAGATGATATATGTGCTTAATACATTGGAATAGACTTATTGTTGCAACATCATTTCCAGCTATTCCCTCCAAAAAATGTATTAAGCTTGAGTTTCTTTTTGACAGCCAATCTATAAACAAAGATCAGTTGGAAATTACCATTTGTTTTAACAGTTTGACATTTGTTTCTACATTTACTACTTTTAAATACTTGAAGTATTTGTTTTTTTATTAAGATTCCCGTCATGCTAAATACAATGAATTGGATATAATGTTATTGCTAATTATCAGATAAATGTATCTATTATGTGGCTTTTTTTCGCGTTTGAATTGTTTTACAACGGAGCTTTTGCGGTGCAGACCCAGACTCCTCGTAAAATGCCTTGTTTTGTCTTTAACTGCTTAATTCAATTCCATCTAGCTTAACTTGGATTGAGAGTGGTCTCATTGGCAATCATGACATATCTTAATATCTCCACTTGACACTTTGAATATAAAAAAAGAAGATGTGGTATGATTGTCAATGAGACGACTCTCCACAAGAGATCAAATGACACAGAAATTAACAACTATAGGTCACCATTTATCAATTTATTTTTCTTCAGAAAAGGAGGCGGGCAAGATTATATATCATAAAACTTTTATTAAAAATTATAAGTTTTATACCTTTTAGGTTTAAAGTTTTCAAGAAGTCATCATTCTTGTATTGTTGACAGATTGTGGAGGAATCGTCAAACACCAACTTATTTTGAGATCTTCCAAGTGCCTTTGAAAGTTTTACCATATCGCTGTCTTCTAAAATACCGTTGTCAAGAGCAGAAATAACAGTATCCACACACTGTGAGGCTGGCCACCTGGTCTGTTTTTTGCTTTTTGGTTGGTGGATCTTGCACTTCAAATGTGGCTTTTCCATATTCATGGCAAACATTACATAAGTATTTTGAATACGGTGTAAGGTCCCCTCTCTGTATGAATTCATCGATAATAGATCTTCTAATGGTTTTTCCCTTCTATTGTAATAACGTGTTTAATGGTGTTGTCCGAACAGTACAGGACATGGTTTTTGCAACTGCATTTTCTTCTTGAAGCCATCTTAAAATTGGGAAAAATGAAAAAAAAAAATATTGATAATTCATTTGTTAAATCAACGGAAGATAAGATAAGATATGTTATTGGTTTAAAATTCGAAATTATAGGATTGTTATTAAGACCTGAGACTACTATAATATAGTAGTCTCAGCTAAGACAATAAACATTTGCTATACGGAAGAAGGTATATAATATTTTATATAACTCTTATATCAAAATAGTGTAGCCTTTATTATTTTATTTGATTTGTATATATATATATTCATTATATAATGAAAATCATACATTTACCTACAATAAAGTTACACGTTTGTTTTATAATCGTTCGATATAACCATGATGTGTAAAAAGTTAAGTTTTTTTTAGATGCTTTGGGAACCCCCCTTTTTTAGAAAGTGATCAACCATATGACCATTGGTAATCCTTCACTAGTATTCGTACTTTTAATTCATCATATCAATATCAAATGTCGACAAATTGCTAAAATTTGCTAAAACGAGTAAATATATTAATTAGAAAATATTTATACCACAACGTTAGCGATAAATTTGGACAATAATGGCTTTCCATATAAAAACTGAAACAGGTGATCTTTTTTGCAAGATCAACATTGATTAGTCAGTTCATTGATCATGTGCACATTGATGTTTAACAAAATGGTGGATGATCATACCAAGAAGAAGTACGCTTGATGGTGATGAGGTTTTTTTCTCATATTTGCATTATTTTTAACAATTTATCACTGATTAATGGCGAAAATTACAAAGATACTTACTTCCGGTAATTGTACATCCACTTTGGCGTCTATCTGGGTATTGAAATCGTTCGAAAAGGACGTTTTTATAGAGGGCAAGTTCTCAGGTTTGCCGCCAATGCACGGGTAACATGCGGATCCATGATTTTATGCTTAATTTTACACATCAAAACAAATATCCAGTAGTTCAAGGACAAATTTACCCTTCTATAGAGGTATAAACCCCATATCAAGGTATAATCACCGTACAGAGGGTTTGTTTCCAACCTGTTTGATACAAGTAGTCAGCCAAAATAAACCATCAATAGACCAATTAAAAGATTACTTGAGTTCTAAATTGGATAGTCTATGAAAAGGTATATACTATGAAATTAAGAGCTCGGGGCAAGCCCCTCGCTCTAAATTTCATAGTATATACCTTTTTATAGACTAACCTAGACTTAACAAAAAAGCTAATTGCCAACCCAATCAAGGATGTCCACCTCGACTTTAAATCACATGTTACAGTCGGTTGAAAGTTACCTGTGTATATTTAGTTCTAACTTTTAATCTAAAAAAAATGCATGCATATGCACAAGCTTTACATGTTTGCACATTTTATTTCTACAAATTACCAAACTATTTCAACTCTCTTCTCGAATGTACTTTTAAGGATTATGATACAATGTAAAAAAAGGTTGTCAGCTCTTTGGTCGGGTTGTTGTCTCTTTGACATATTCCCCATTTCCATTCTCAATTTTATTAAAATAGTCAGTTTTAAAACATGCTATCGTGTTATCATTAAAAAATACAAACTACAAGAACTGCACATAAGTTTCAGACATAAGCTTTCCATGAAGATTATATAAAATTAGATCATGATAAAATAGAGAATGGAAATGGGGAATGTGTCAAAGAGACAACAACCCGACCATAGAGCAGACAACAGCCGAAGGCCACCAATGGGTCTTCAATGCAGCGAGAAACTCCCGCACCCGGAGGCGTCCTTCAGCTGGCCCCTAAACAAATATGTATACTAGTTCAGTGATAATGGACGTCATACTAAACTCCAAATTATACACAAGAAACTAAAATTAAAAATAATACAAGACTAACAAAGGCTAGAGGCTCCTAACTTGGGACAGGCGCAAAAATGCGGCGGGGTTAAACATGTTTTTTTGAGATCTCAACCCTCCCCCTATACCTCTTGCCAATGTAGAAAAAACAAACGTACAACAGTACGCACAGTAAAACTCAGTTTAAGAGAAGTCCGAGTCCGATGTCAGAACAGGAAACAAAAGAAAATAAACAAAATGACAATAATACATAAATAACAACAGACTACTAGCAGTTATTGACATGCCAGGTTCAGACATCAATTAAACTGATTGAAAGATTATGTCTTCAAAATATGAATATCAGGCACAATCCCTCCTGTTAGGGGTTTAGTATAATACCGTCATAAAATATATGAGAAGAACATAACCCGTGTCATGCCAATAACTTGTATGTATATATACGAAAGATTTGCATGTACTTTCACGGCAATGGCTGCATGACTGCATTCTCCATAGACAACACGTTAGTGATCATATTTTTTTGGAACATTGAAATAATCCCACACCAAATTTACTTTTTTTAAACACTTATTTCCTAAATGAATTCATATTATACACAGACCTTGCTGAGTGAATATGTTTAACTTGAAATAGAGATTCTAAATAAGCATTATCTTAAAAACATCTTCACAAAAAAAAAAGAAAATCACAGTATCACAAGTTCACGTGTTACGGTGTCTATATAAATATATACATACTTTGAGCTTCAAAACATAATGTCATTCATGAAAATGATCGATTGATAATTGCTTAACGTCCAGTGGCAAATATTACATGTATGTTCAGAATTTTTTTTTAATAAAAAATAAAATGGGCGTTGATGGTAGATATTTCGTTGTTTCCGTTAAATTAATTCTCAACTGTTATACACTATATGGGTAAACCTGTCTACTGTTATTGACTGTATGTTGGTCTTGTGATGTCTTCTGCATATTGTTTTCGTGGGGTTGCTGTCTTTTCACTTATTCTCAATATATTCTTACAAATGTACATTTATACTTGTCGGGTTGGTAAAATAATTGAATGTCGTGGTAACGAGCAGTATTTTAGATTAAGTATAATCGTGGAATAAAAAAATTACATACTTGGACATTCGTTCATTTTCTTGATCAACATAACTGACAAATAAAACCCTCAAAAATTCGATTAATTTTTATTGTTAATTTTCACTGAAAAGAACAATTCAAACACAGCACGTGAGAAAATAAACGGAAGCTTCAAACAAAAGTGTACATTATATAATTATGAAAAATTCCAGACTTTCATCTGGAAAAGTAAATGTTGATATTTGGTTTTACGTAAACAGAAACATTAGTTCATCAATATTATCATTTATTATACTTAATCGCTGGCAGTGACATCTTA